GGGGTGGGGGCCGGGGTGGGGACCGGGGTGTGGGTCGGGGTGGCCGGCCGGGGTGGGGGCTGGGGTGGGGGCCGGGCCGGGGGCTCACTCTCCCCAGCCCGGTGACCAGACGCTCCTCAGCCTCCGTCTGTGACAGATCCTGCGTCCTTGAAGAAGGCCTACGAATTAATCAAGTCGGCCAACTCGGGGAAATCGGAGTTCGACCCCTCGGAGAGCTTCAGCCCGGACCTGTTCGTTCTGTGTGCAGAGCAGGCCCTCAAGGTCGTGAGTTCCCGGCAGCTGCAGGCCAGCGCCGCCTTGACAGCGAGAGGGAGGGCCTCCGGCGGCCGTGGATGCAGAGGGGCTGGCGGGGGCAGCTCCCTGCTGGGCAGTCCAGGGGCATGCAGGGTGGGGCTGGAAGCAGGCTGGACCTCTGCGTGTGGCCGGTTCTGAGAGCCGCCCCGTGGTGGTTCCGGAAGGGAGGCCACCCGCCCTGAGGCCGGCGGTCTGCGATCTTCGCCGGCGCTGTTCTCTTGCAGATGGGACAGCCAGAGGTGAGCGAGGACTGCATCCAGATGTACTTCAAGGTGAAGGCGCCCGTCACCCAGTTTCTGGGCCGAGCGCACCTGTGCAGGGCCCAGCTGTGTGCCCCGCAGTCAGCAGAAAACCTGGTGAGAGGCTCCTGTGCTCTCCTCCCCAGCAGTTCCGTTTTCACCCCCTCTCCAGAACAGCAGGCCAGACCAGGCTGTTGAAATCATTCTTAGCATAGAAGTGTGAAGGAATTCATTTCCACAGTGACATGAAACTTGCCCCATTTCCTGTTCATGCTTTTCACTCAAGTGCTGGTATCTGATACGTCCTCCAGGACCACTGGACCTTTGCCTCATAGCGCCATGGTCTCTGTGGCATCTGTGCCCGAAGCTGCCCCTAGTGGGCAGAGAAGAGCTGGGGTAGGGCAGGCGTGCCCGAGCGCAGGCACTGCGGGTTCTGATGCCCACTCAGGCTGTGTCTGCCACGCCGTCACCTGTGAATACACGGGGGGCACCAGGCCAACCATGAGCGAGCTGCGGCATCCACAGAAGGGGCGAGGAGCAGTGGTCAGTGTTTCAGTCTAATCGTGCTTGTTTTCGTTGCTGTAGGAGGAGTTTGAAAATTGCGTGACTCAGTACATGAAGGCTATAAACTTTGCCAAAGGAGAACCGAGGTAGGCAAAATTGGATTGGCCTTTTCTACTTGACTGAGTGAAACACTTCAGAGCCAGAACTCACCAAGTGGGTGTAGTTATGTGTACTGTGGGTTTTCCCCTAGTTTGTGGTTTGTGATTTTCATGCACGTGTGATCCCTCACTTGTCTGTCAGCATGTGGACTAGGCCACGTTCCTGCAGAATTCCCTGAGTCACAGCCTTGTCTGCACTGGGTGGTTTCATGATTTTAGTTGGCTGTGAAGAGTCTGTTTCCTGCTGGGCATGGTGGTGTGCAGCTGTAATCCCAGCTACTGGGGAGGCTGAGGCAGAAGAATCACTTAAACGCCGGAGGCGGAGGTTGCAGTGAGCCCAGATCGCACCACTGCACTCCAGCCTGGGTGACAAGAGCAAAACTCCATCTAAAAAAAAAAAAGTCTGTTTTCTCCAGGCTCTGCCCCAACCCCCTTGCGTCCCCAGGGCGCCTGGCTCCTTCTGGTTCTTTCCCTGCGACCCGGCGTACCTCTCCTGCCCCCTGGCGGATGACCTGGCCAAGGCCCGCTGTCGCTGCAGAGGCGACTTCAGCACAGGCTTCTGTTCAGTGCTCTCTGCACAAAACCGAGTATCACACTTGAAACTGTCCACCGGGCACAAAACTCGTATTAATGCCACATGTTTGAATAGGACACCATGTTTGGAGGAGACTTAAATAGAAGCTGTGGGTCCCTCGTCCGTTGTGCCCATGTGGGCCTGCTTGCCCGCTGGTGGCCCCTCTGGCCCCACCCAGCTGCACCCCGCCCTGGTGCTCCTGCAGGCTGGGGATGTAGGCCCAGCCCCACAGATCCTCCCTGCATGGGGACAGGGGACGGGGAGGCCCCACCTCAAGCCAGAGGTTCTAAAGACAAGGGTGTCTCCGGGGGAGCCACATGGGAGTGGTGAGTGCCGTGGGAGGGAGGCTGCTCACTCCAGGGCCGTCGGGGGCACTGTGGATGGGCCAGGGGGTGACAGAGCCTTGCTGGAGGCCAGGACCGCCTTTGGGAAGAGGCCAGGTCGTGTGGAGAGAGAGGGAAGCACTGGCTCGTCCAGGGCTGCGGCAGTGGGACAGGAGACCCTGAGCCAGACCGTGGGCATGTGGGGGCCCCGCTGGGAATTTGGGGAGAGCCACTTAGAGGGAGGAGATGGTTTCTTTTCTGGAGAGACGTGGCACCCAGTGAGACGCAGCAGGCCGATGGCATCCCGGGACGACGACTCTGCCTCACACAGCGGTGGCCATCTGGTCGGGACACCTCACACCTCTATTCCTTTCCTGAAAACCTGGAAACAAGATGAGTCCCGTCCCAGGGCCACGTGATGGCTCCAGTAACCTCAGGGGTGGGCTTGCCACGGCCACCCTGGTGTCCTCCTCCCTCCTGGGCAGTGAGCAGTGCTGGTCCACCTGTTGGCCGGCCCAGGACCCTCAGACACCCTGGCCCTATGGGGCAGAGCTGGCCCCGCTATGGAGTGGCCCTAGAGTGAGAAGGGCAGATGGGCCTGGGATTCTCTTACTTCAGCCCCTCCAAGGGCTCCCTGCTGCCCAAGGAGAGGCCTAGACCCCTGAGAGGGGCCTCTGCTCCCTGCTCCACCCCACACTCCTCCACTTCACACCCCATGCTGGGGGACAGAAACTTCGTTCCCCAAAGGTTCCTCCCTTCTCTTCCATTTGCCTGACCTCTTTTTCCTCCACTGCTCTCTTGGCTGCCTCCTAATATCTTTTAGGTCACAACAGGCATGTAACCTCCTCCAGGAAGGCTTCCTTGATTTCCTCTGTCCTTGCCCATTCTTGTCTGTTCTTTGAGAGCCACAGGAGGCCTTGCTCAGTGGTGTGTTGTCATGGGAGATGGGGCTGGGGGGCGTTCAGTTTGAGGAATGATTGACTGAAGGGGGCCCTGGTCTGGACTTGGGAGCCTGTGGCCGGGTCATCACAGCTGGGACTGCCCTGGAGCTATAGCACGCTGGGCCCAGGGCTGCCCAAGCCTGTCCCAAGGAAGGGCTCTACGTCCTGGTGCTCCTGCAGGCCGGGCCAAAGCTCCTCACGTGGGGCTGCTGCTGTTGCTGGGACAGGACCCGAGGCCCCCTCCTGGGAGGGGCTCTGGGGCACGGCAGCCCCTTGGTTTTGCAGCCTGGGCCGGCTGGGCTCTGACTGGGTTCCCCACTTCCTCTCCTGCGTCACAGGTATTACTTTTTGGTGTATAATGCATCAGTCCTCTACTGGCAGATGGTCAGGCCGTTCCTCAAGCCTGGATATCACCACTATCTGATCCCCAGCCTTTCCCAAATCGTGAACGTGCTCAGTCAGACTGAGGAGGAAGACAAGGAGTGGCGTGCCGAGCTGATGCTGTGAGTGGAGCTTGCTGTGGCCTCCGTGGCCTCCCAGTGGGCCGCCCGTCCGGCTCTGAGGCCCCCGCCCGTTCTCCCCAGGGGACGGGATTCCACATCGCCGGGGCGCACATGTGCATTCTCTTCCACAGTCACGTGTGTTCTGTGTGTCTTGTCTGAAGGTCGTTTCCAAAATCTATAGATGACATTTGCCATGCCCTGGTTATGAGGCTATGACAACAGAACAAGACTCATAGCAAAGTAGATGTGACCCTGCGCCGCCCGGCCTGGCTCATGGTTTTACAATCTTAGTTCTTAAAATGTTAATGCAGTAGACATTTTAACAGCATAAAACTAAGCAGAGTGAGTGCATCTGGAGCCTTGAGGGGCCACCACATGGGTGTCAGCAGATGCCCCGTCTCTGCGCCAGGCGATGGATGGGGGGTGGGTCTGAGCTCTCTGTGTCTGCGGCGCTCTCTGTGCAGGCCGGGGACGGGCGGATGTCCCCAGCGAGGATCCCAGCTGTGCCAGCTTCAGAGCAGCTCCCCTCGGCCCTGAGCCTGGAGCCTGCAGGCGTTGGTTACCTGTTGGATGGCCGTTGGGGGAACCTTTGAATAATATGAACGCAGATCTTTCATTTCAAAATGGTCTGGTGCTAGTGGTAGCGGGCTGTCCGGCACCTGCTGGCCCTTCCTGGTGAGCCTGGGGCCAGGTTCTGGCTGAAGAAGCTGACCCCAGGGGGCTTTTACAGTTTGTGAAACATAAAGTTTGTCACAGTTTAATAACCTGTTTATTAGACAGGAGAAAACAGTTTCAACCAGGCTGAACAGTGACGCGTTTATATTCTCCAGGGAGCTTCTGGAGTGTTACGTGCAAGCCGGAAGAAAGGAAGAGGCTGCCAGGTTCTGCTCCACTGCAGCGCCATTCATAAAGTCTCACGTGCCGCAGAAATACCGGCAGGTATTCTCCATGATGGTAAGTTGGCGTCTCAGAAATAGAGACGTAAGAAGTAACTTTCCTAAAAGTCATTGTTCAGAAAACTCTGCGTGGAAATCACGTACAAGTTTGCTGAGAGATATAAGAAACTTTATGCATACATACATGAAGAAAAACATGTAAACGTATTAAAAAGAAATAGTTCCTCCAATGTGACAAGCAGTTCATTTCAAAATGTGACATTTTGGAAACAGGGTCTTTTGCTGTCATTGTCGCTCTTTGAATATTTCCTTTGTAATTGCTTTGAATTTCTTTAAAGTTAATGGAAAATTCACAGAGACAAGTGATTACTACCACACTACGTACGTAAGCATTCATCAGCTCTTCATTTTGACATGTGGGAAATCAGCTTAAGTTGTATCTGAAGAGCTAGATATAAAAGTTAATTAATGAGAAAATAAAATCTAGACAGAAATCTGAATCTCTACCTGATTGTTTGAATCCAGATGAATAATCCGTTCCATTTTGTGACAGGTTCGTCATGAATTAATGGACGGGTTTCAGTTAAAGGAAGAAATGAGAAGTTCCATTTCCCTGTCCATTGCTTTCTATATTAACATGCTAAAGGCGTAAGTCATGCTGGGAGGGATAGCAGATACTGCGTTCCACAAGTGCTGGGCTCGGGAGGGCTCTGTCCCCTCCACGTGGGGATGTCCTGTGTCCAGGGGTCCGTGAGTCTGGAGTTGCAGTGACTGGACCTGGACAGCGGGGCCAGGGAGGCCTCAGGGTGTGGGGATCTGAAGGCCACCCTGACGCCTGGCCCTGCCTCCCTCCCAGCACTGAGGAGACGCCAGTGAGGCCACAGAAGGAAGTGGGCGGCTTTGAAGCCAAGTGCAGAAAGAGCGTTTGGGAGGAGGAGGTGACCGGCTGGGTCAGATGCGTGTGACAGGTCATCCCATGTGAGGCTGGAGATGTGACTGTGGGAGTGAACAGAGCAGTAATAGTTTGTCGGTAAAATCCTGACCGCAGTGGGCAAGCGGAATGAGGGAGAAGATCACACCAGGGAGCAGAGAGGGCTCTTTGTGAAGTTTGCTTTAAGGACAGCGGGATGTGCTGTGTAGCTAGAGGGATTGGGGGCGGGGAGGGTCACACTGTGCGCGGGTGCCGAGGGCAGTGAGGTCACACTGTGTGTGGGTGCCGAGGGCAGGGAGGTCACACCGTGCGCGGGTGCCGAGGGCAGTGAGGTCACACCGTGCGCGGGTGCCGAGGGCAGTGAGATCACACTGTGTGTGGGTGCTGAGGGGGGCGAGGGGGTCACACTGTGCGCGCGGGTGCCGAGGGCAGTGAGGTCACACCGTGCGCGGGTGCCGAGGGCAGTGAGGTCACAC